TCTTGTTTACTTTTTAGATTCCATGTACAAGTGAAATCATATGGTATTTGTCTTGCTCTGATTAATTATTAAAATTTTTTTTCTTTATTGATGTTAGAGAGAGAGACAGAAACATCGACGAGAGAGAACATTGATTGGCCGCCTCTTGCATGGCCTCCACTGGGGATTGGGCCCTGTGCCCTGACTGGGAATTGAACTGGCAACCTCTTGGTGCACTGGTCTATGCTTAACCACTGAGCCACACCAGCCGGGTTCTCTGTCTGATTTATTTCACTTAACATAATACCCTCTAAGTCCATCCATGTTGTTGCACATTGTACGATTTCATTTTTTATGGTCAAGTAATATTCCATTGTTTATATGTACCACTTCTTCTTTATACAATTGTCTACTGATGGACACTTAGTTTGCTTCCCTATCTTGGCTATTGTAAATAATGCTGCAATGAACATAGGGATGCATATATCTTTTCAAATTAGTGTTTTGGATTTCTTTGGATAAATACCCAGATCTGGGATTTCTGGGTCATATGGTAGTTCTATTTAAAAATTTTTGAGAGTTTATACTATTTTCCACAGTAGCATCAATTTTCAATCCCACCAACAGTGCACGAAGGTTCCCTTTTCTCCACATCCTCACCAACACTTGTTGTTTGTTGATTTATTTATGGTAGCCACTCTGACAGGTGTGAGGTGATAGATCATTGTGGTTTTAATTTGCATTTTCCTGATGATTAGTGGTGTTGAACATATTTGCACATGTCTATTGGCCATTTGTATGTTCTCTTTGGAGAAATGTTTATTCAAGTCCCTTGCCCCTTTTAAAAATTAGATTATTTGTCTGTTTGGTGTTAAGTTGTATGAATTCCTTATATATTTTGATCCCTTACTAGATGCATCATTGGTAAATATCTTCTTCCATTCACTATGCTATCTTTTCATTTGTTGACGGTTTCTTCTGCTGTGCAAAACTTTTTAGTTTGATGTAGTCCTATTTGTTTATTTTTTTTCTTTTGTTCCCTTGTCCACAGAGATATATCAAAAAGAAAATATTGCTGCGAAAAGTGTCAGAGATTTTTCTGCCTATTTTTCTTCCAGAAGTTTTGTGGTTTTGCAACTTAATTTAAGTCTTTTATCGATTTTGAGTTTATTCTTGTATATGGTGGAAGAGAGGGGTCTAGTTATATTTTTTGCATGTATCTGTCCAATTTTCCCAAAACCATTTATTGAAGAAGAGGTTGTCTTTACCCCATTGTATATTCTGGCTTCCTTTGTCATGGATTAATTGACAATAAAGGCTCAGGTTTATTTCTAGGCTCTCTATTCTGTTGCATTGATCTATGTGTCTGTTTTTAATGCCAGTACTATGCTGTTTGATTACTGCAGCCTTGTAGTATAGTTTAATATCAGGTAGTGTGTGAAACCTCCAACTTTGTTCTTCTTTCTCAAGATTTCTTTGTTCATTTGGGGTCTTCTGTGGTTCCATATAAATTTTAGGATTACTTGATCTAGTTTTGTGAAAATTGCTATTGGTATTTTGACAGAGATTGCATTGAATCTACAGATTGCTTTAGGTAGTATGGACATTTTAACGATATTAATTCTATCCATGAACACAGTATATGCTTCCACAAACTTGTCAAATCCTTCCTCCCAGACGGCATGACTGCAACAGAAGCCTGTGTGACACGTGTTTCCCAGCAGCATAGAGCATCCAGTTTCTTGCTCCGCTCTGAGCTCCAACGTCTGGTTCTGGGGGTATTCATGAATTAGTGCAGTATTTGCAACATTGTACATGGTTGCTGAGGAACATTTTGTAGCATTAAACAATTTACATTATTCTTACATTTTTATATTTGTGTTTAGCTGTAACATACATGAAACATGATACTTATCCTCTTTATCAACAACAACGTGGAACTGGACAGTAAAATTGTAAATAGGTTTATAAAAATATTTATTAGATTTAAAATATCCAACAAATTAATGAAGTATTCAGCTATTCAATAGGGACTCTGTCTCTTTCTATTATCTGCTCTGGAAGAAAATAATACCAGATTTAGAATGGCAAAGTTTTTAGTAACCCAGGTTCAAAAATTAAAGGACTCTAACCAAACTTGACTCCTTTCCTTTCTCATTTTCTTTGCTTATGACTACTTTGTCTTCCTTCCACCCTTAGGGAGTGAGTGTAAGAAGGGTGAGTTAAGTCTTTGATGGGGGTGTAGGGTGCACCTGTGATTACCTGCTGGATTTGGGGAGTGGTAGATGAATGGGGCAGGGGTGGGTGAAAATCCCAGATTCCTTGCCCCATCCTGCCCTGAGTTAGGGCTCATGTTGGCCTGGCCTGGCCAGCACTCTCAGCCACCCTCTTCAGAAAAGTCTTCAGGTGCCAGACGTCAGCAGAGCCAGGCTTTGGAGCAGTTTCTCTCAAGGGCCTTCCTTCCCAATCCAGGGACTCAGAAGACTATCCTTTCTGATGCTGGAAGAAAGTGGCGAGACCAGATGGGGACAGGCTCTCCTGCTCATTCTCTCCCAGTGATCCCACGGGCTGTTAGAGACCTGGCTGTCCCCAGCTCAGAGAAGGGAGAAGAGCTGAACCCAGAAGCTGGGGCTGGGGGTGGTAGGAAACGGTGGCAGACAGAAAGAGAGGTGTGAATAGGGAGAAGTCAGCCAGGGAACACAGACAGCTCGGGCTAAGAACTAAATCCAACAGTAGAACAGCTTTTGTCCTTGAGAATGCCCTGGATCCTAATGAATGAGCCATACACCACAGGTTCTTGGGGCAGACAATGTGGTGCAATTGGAAAAAAACTAGACTTGGGGATTTTTGACCTGCATTTGAATTCTGGGGCTGCCTCTTAAGAACTGTGTGATCTTGGGCAAATGTCTTCTCAGAGTCTCAGTTTCCTTTTCAGTACTATTAACACAGGCTTTGCATTCAGAAAGACTGCCCCGAACACCTGCCTGACTTTGGAGAATACTTAACACCTGTCTCAGTTGCCTCCTCTTGTGAAACAGGGGCAGTAATACCTTAGAGCTGTTGTCAGGATTAAAGAAGATCATTGAGGGGAAGTCGGTTCCATTAGTGACTTAGGATCACGGAGTAAGGTATACTTGGGGCCAGGTGACATGGGTTAGACGTGTAGCCCCCAGATAGATATGTAACCTCTCTGAGAACCAATTCTTTCTCCATATGAAGGGGTAACAGTATCTTCTTCTTGGGGCTTTTGTGGGGCTATGATGAGATAAGGGGTAGGAAAGTACTCTGTCCAGCTCCATACAAATCTGAAGGTTTATTTTTGTTCTTCAGCTCACCCTCTAACAAAGGCTGAATAAGTACTGAATTGGCCAGAAAAAGGGAGGGTGAGGGAAGGAATGCGAATCTCAGGGGGAGTAGCCATAAAACTCGAATAATCTCAGTACTGTGTTTTAACACTTTTCATTAAGGTCAGGCTCCAAGAAGCAGCTGAGCCCACAGGAGGGAGGCGAGGACTCGGGGCAGGAGGAGGACAGGGGATGATGAGGAGGGAAAAGTCACTGCTGTCAAACCCCAGGAAGGTCCTTGTCGGGTAAGGAAAGGAGGTGGTCTCTAAGTCCCAGCTCCCTTTGTGTCTCCCTCTGCGACTCCAGCTCCCAGCCTTAAGCCAAGAAATGCTGCCTCCCAATGCCCCCCACCTGGCAGCTTCTGAGCAGATGCAAATGTGCTCAGGGTTGGCTTCCAGAAAAAGGCAGGAGCTCAGCCCTCCCCTAATGGAGGGCAGCTTGCACCTCCTCATGCCCCACAAGCCAGCTTCCTCCTGCCCCTTCCCCTGGCCCGTGCCCTCCACTTCCTTTTGCAAAGCCTAAACCGGGACATGATGTCAGGGGACAGGGCCGTGCTGGTCCTGACTTCTCCGCGAGGCTGGATCACGAGTGCCCTTCCTTGAGAAGCTCGGGCTATAGGATATGCCAGGGAAATGTTTCCACACATTAGTGCTTCCTGAGGTAGGGCAGCAGCAGCAGGTGGCAGGAAAGGGCGGGGAGGGGGCAGAGCCTAGGGAGCCCTTGGCAGAAGCCCAAGGACAGAGACTTTCTTCTCCAGGCTCCAGAATCAGGAGGTTTGGGGTTCCTCCAAAGCCCCCTGCCTCAGTTGCATCTCTCAGTGCCCAGATGCTGCTGCATAGAACACTTTATTTGACCGGTCGTTGTGGTTATTACGGCGGTATCGCAGTGGACTAAGTCCTGCTCCAGATAGAGAATACACTGGAGGCTAGGGGGAGGGACGCAGGGGCAGGAGAGGAGAGACAAAGAGCCAGCTAAATAATCCAACAAACGGGGGAGAGAAAGGAAGTTACAGCAAGAAGAAATATAGGATGTCCCAAAGAAATGTATACACGAAAAAGTGTAATTATAAAGCCAGTGTTTATTAAAATACATTTCATTTTCAAAATGTAATAGAATCTACAAACACCCTATATACACCTTATATAAGCCATGGAGAAGGCAGCCTGGCAAGAGTGCCCTAAATTAAACATTTTCAGCAGGTAAAACCTGGTTAAGCTTTTTCAAATCTGCATCTGGCAAGTCAGGCCTGGAGCGTGGAGCTGTTAAATAACCAGACAAGCCGGATACCTTCTAAGACAGGGCTAAGAAGGCAGGAAATGCTGTTCAGTTAAGGGATGGAGATGGCAGGAGGGAGGGTGAAGCTAGATTTTTGCTGGCTGTCCCCTGACCTTGTTCTTGGGAGCAAGGCAGGTGGTGATGCATTACAATGTGTGTGTCTTTTTAAAGTTATATTATTTATTGATTGATTTTAGAGAGAGAGACAGAGGAAGTGGGGTGGGGGAGAGAGAAGGAGGGAGGGAGGGGAGAGAGAGAGAGAGAGAGAGAGAGAGAGAGAGAGAGAGAGAGAGACATTGATTTATGCATTCATTGGTTGATTCTTGCATGTGCCCTGACCTGGGATCAAACCTGCAATCTTGGGTATCTGGGATAATGCTTTTATCAACTGAGCTCCCCAGCCAGGGCTAAAATGTGGTTTTGATCCAAAGTTTCATCAACATTGGCTTTCTCCCTTGGCTTAGTCGTGGCCCAGGGTCAGGCACCCCCAAGCCAGCTGCTCCTGAACCTCACAATTCGTGCAGGTGAGACACTGGCTCCTGGTCTGTGTCTGCATTCTGGATAAACTCAAAGATGAATTTCACTTGGGTCTCGTAGTTTCGGACTGAGATCTTCTCGTTGATTCCGTGAATGCTGAGGGGAGAAAGGAGAGGGCCCACTGCTGAAGCCCATGTTATTGGAGCGCACTCCCCACCCCTACCCCGGAAGCCACTGGCCTTGCGTCCTCAGGGGTAGGAAGTGGGCAAGGTGGGAGAGGCCATTTGTAAGAAGTGAGGTTTCCTATGACAACACGGGTCATCTCTCCAGGATCTGAGCCCATGGCACAGAACAGTGGGGGAAAATAGTAATAAACCCCTGGGCACATGAAATCATCTCCTGCTCTGGAATCCTTTGATAATTTCTCCTCTGAAGAGAAATGATCTCTCTAATTCTCTTTCTCTTAGGCAGGGACTCTAGTTAGACTTTTCTTGATATCAGCATTGTTCCCACCCCACCCCACCCCCAATTACTAGGGGTGCAAGAGGCTGGGGAGGGCAACTGTCTAGGGTACTTCTTGACCTAGGAACTTTACTATCAGACCTCATGCTTGCAACCTGCCCCTAAACAACACAGAACACAACACACAGCCAAAACCACACAGGGAACCTCAAAGACGAAGGGAAATAAAGAGTAACCACCTGGCCCTTCATTGACAGCCCTCCCCACCCCCTGCAAAACCATGAAAGCTGTTCTTAAGCTCATATTCCAATATGTTCATTCTGTTGGAAACTGACTTACTGTGGGGAAATCAGGTCTGGATACGAAAAAGAGCAGAGAGGTAAATGGAAACCATCCTTCCACACCCCAAGGTCTAAAATTTGCTGAAGAACCCACAAAGTAGTAATTCACACACAGCAGTTAAAATGGGTGATCATGTCTTAGATTCTTCTAGTGTGTTTCCTTCTCAGAATTCAAAGCAGGTGCCCATCTGACCTCACATGTGTCTGCGTTTCACTGAGTGGTAATCAAGAACTCTGGAGTCCCCCCCTTTTTGGGTGAGAAAATGAGGTTCAGAGGGTAAGTACTCTCCCAAAGGGAGGAAGAGCTGGAATTAGCACTCAAGGGTCCTAATTCCACCAGGTTCTCTCCAATCATCTTTTTTTCTCTCCATCCCCGAAAAATAGTGACCAATTCCCACACATTCTGGGGAGTGGCAAGACTCGCGTTGAAGAGGCCTGGCAGTTGGGTTCTACAATGTCTCCAGTTTAGTTTGTGCAAATCCAGGCCTTCTCCCATTCTGTGCACTTTCAGGAAAAAGGGAAGGGAAGGGGACAGGTTAGTTCTATCAAACCTGTCCCACTCACTCACCTACGGAATTCCTGAGGCGTCAGGTAGATGGGGTTGAACCTGTAGATGCCAGTGGTGAGGTGTGCATAGTGTCGGCTGTCTGTCTGAGCAATACAAATACCTAGAAAGGGAAGATCAAGGGGGAAGGGGGCTCTATGTGAGCAACCAAGCCAAGGAAGAGGTTGGAGGTGGGCTGGCTGGAAAATTAAGACCCCTAGGTTACTGCAGAGCAAAATCTGGGCCCTCCTGGGAGCCTGCAGCTATGAATATTTATCATTTAGCCTACCCATGTTCAAAACCTTACTGAAACACCATTTCAGCCAGAAACATGGAAGCTCCTCCCTAGGGCATTAGTGAGATATCCCTTGAATGGATCCAAAGCTAAGTGTCTTCTCTCCATGCTGACCAGGGAGGCCAATACCTTTATTTCATACCCATAGCCAGGTGGTTTTAGAAATCTGCAGGGGTGGGAAAAAATAGGTTCATAGTTGTCCGCATGAAAAAATATATAATACAAGAACACGTAATTATACAAGAATAAACTGTTTTGTGTACTCACAGTCATAAACCTAATTTTGCCAACCCCTGTAGGTATCCAGAAATCTAAATATCACTTCTTTATTGCCCCGGCTTTTTTTCTGTATAATTCTAGATAAAAAATAAACACTCTCTGTCCAGCCAGTGTGGCTCAGTGATTGAGCATCAACCCATGCATCAAGGGGTCACTGGTTCGATTCCTGGTCAGGACACATGCCCAGGTTGTGGGCCTGATCCCCAGTGGGGGGCATGCAGGAAGCAGCCAATCGATGTTCTCTCTCATCGATGTTTCTCTCTCTCTCTTCCTCTCTCTGTAAAATCAATAAAGGAAAACATAAATAAATAAACACCCTCTGTAGAACTTTACTGCTATAAAATGCAAAGTGGAACATAACTTCCTGTTTTTCTCATCCTCTGTCTTCTGAGCATCAAAGCTCAGGTTTGCCAAGTCCCAGGATATTCTCCTGTCCTGTCCCACTTCCTGAAGCAGCTCACACAACTCCCCGGCGGGGGCTAGGACTTGTCCTGATAGGACTGCCCTCGGGGAGGAGACCCCCTGGAGCATCGACAGAAGTGTGGCGGGATGATACGATGGTAACTTGTCTTGTGTTCCATTTTCCACTCTTGGTTGTAGATTGGTAACTAGGCCCCTCACAATTCCTTGCGTTGGGGATTTCTGCCAGTTGATTGCTGCCTATCGTTTTTCTGTGAAAGCCTAACTTGGGCATGAGATTATGGCAGATGCCCCAGAAAGGAGAGGGTGGTAGGGAGCCCTTAAGGGCCAAGAAAGGAGAATATGTGACGGTGAGAGCCAGGGGTCCTGGATGCTGGGAACCCAAGCCCTCCTCTGTGGCAGCGGTCTGAGGAGGTGGCAGACCTCAGAGGGGATGGCTGCTTGGGACCTTCAGGGAGTGAGATCTTAGATCTAGAGTCAAAGACCCCACTCTCCACACAGGCCAGGGAGTGAATCAGAGGAAATCTCCAACCTGAAGTGACCTTGTGTCTAGGACAATGGGTGTCTCAGAGGTAACCACAAGGACCAATGACCATTGGCCCAGGGACTCTCAGTGCTGTGTTGCTACATAAACCTTGAGGACCTGATTCAAGGTGGGAGTGGTGGGGGTCCTTGGAGGCCTCATTAATGTCTAAAGTGGAATTTCTTTCTTTTTTCTTTTTGTTGATCCTTACCCAAGGATATTTTTTCCACTGATTTTAAGAGAGAGTGGAAGGAAGGGGGAGAGAGAGAGTGTACGCACAAGAGAAAGAAACATCAATTGGTTGCCTCCTGCAACCCGACCAGGGCCAGGGATTGAACCTGCCTGCAACCCAGGTATGTGCCCTTGATCGGAAATTGAACCCAAGACCCTTTGGTGCGCCGGCTGAAGCTCCAACCACTTAGCCACACTGGCCAGGGCTGAGTTTGAATTTTTTGAGGAGAGGGGCTTACAGTCAGATTTAGGTTGATGAAAAAAAACAAAACAAGGCTGCTTTTTTTCATTCCTGAGTGTGTGGATGTGGAATTTCACAGTAAGCTCTTTAAGGGCCCATGCCTAGCAGAGGGGCGGGTCCTGAGTATGGGCTTAGACAACGTTTGAGGGACTCCATGACTAAACCTAGGTAAAAAGAAACTGGACCCAGTTCTTAACATTAGAGCATTTCCTCCTCACACCATAGACCAGAGATTCTCAAACTACGGTCAGCCATTATCTGGTGTTAGAATTCCCCGGAGTATCTGTTTAAAATGCAGATTCCAGGGTCCTCTCCAGAGCTGGTTAACCCAAATCTTTGGGGATAGGTCCAGGTAATCTGCATTTTAATAAGTTCCCTGGGGGAGATGGTTCTTCCACTCTTAAATTCAAAAGCCACTGTCTACATGGTGTGCTGAAGACTGGGGAGAGCACACAGAGGTGCTGTTGCTGGGAGAGAAGGGGGTGGATGAAAAATGGTGTAGGCTTGGAGGTGTTGCTAGGCTTCTGATTCTGAGTTCCACTGCTGAGCTGTATCCTAGAATGGATCAGAACCAGACGGGGGGAACTTGGTCCCCGCCGTGACTCTTCCACGGCAGGGGATTCTGGGTGGATCCTCTCCTTCATTCACTCTGGTCTAGGTTAAGCAAGAACTCAGGCTTGACCTGACCTAATTTATTGTTTCTGCTCCTTTCCTGTTTGCTTTCTCACTTCCTCTCCAAGGAAGGAGGTGGATACAGTTCCAGACCCATCAGGAGGGGAAGTAGCCAGCTGTTTTCAGGCTCAACAGCTGGGCTGGGGGTAGGGAAGTGGTCATTGGATAGAAAACAGTTCCAGCCCCCACCTCCCTCCAGCCACAGATGATGAAGTCATTACCTGGAGCAACAATGTTGACTTCCGGGAAGACAGATTGTAAGGTCTGGCGGATCAGCTGGTAGCCCAAGGCCTGATCATCAGAGGGACTGACTGGCAGGGGCTCAAAGGCATTCAACACATGGAACTGGACCCGGTCATCAGCCACAATGTTCTTGACTAGTTCAAGGACCTCCAGGGAGGACACAAAAGGAGTTTGATTTCTTACTAACCTGCTATCCAAGCACAGGACTATAGAAGTTTAAAAAGTCCTGATTTCTCTTGAGCATGGCAGAACCCTAGAGTTCCAGAGGAGATTCATTTTAGCATTGGGACCCAAGTTCAGCCAACTGGCTATAGGAGACAGAAGAGCTGGGTCTTCCTGGAAAGCAATCTATAACATAGTCGACTTAGGTTACAGTTTGGAAGACCTGCCTCTTAGCCATGAGGCAGGTAGGGAACAGGAAAATCAGGAAATGATGGCTCTTTCCCTTGGGTTGTGAGCCAAGGGTTGAGTAAGACTGTAGGAGAGTCAGCAGAATGTGAATCTCCACCATCTCGAGGTCGGGGAATAGATGTGATGACCTCACTCCAACCTGGCGTAGTCTCGGACAGGTGATGACCTGGTCACACACTTGGCTTTCCCCTCGCTGGGCATCCCTGCTTCCTGTTTGTAACCAACTGCACTGGAGCCAGGAAGATGAGTTCAACACAGACAAACAAGTCAGGAGTTGGGGGACTGGTGTTCAAGTTTTCTCTCTTTGTCTCCTTTCCTCAGGAAGGAACCCAAGGAAGCTCCTAGAAAATTCAGTCTGAAATGACTAGAGATGAATCCGGGAAAAGTTCTGGCAGGATGCAGACCAGACCCTAAGGATTAGGTCACATGGAGCCATGTGGGAATGGACGAGGAGGCTGGCTGAGCGCGGCCCCCAAACCCACCCAGCTGCACAGGGAAAGCCCCGGCACTAGTCTCAACCCATGGGATCAGCAGTTGCTTTAGAACTTCTGTCCTAGATAGGAGAGTGTCCCACAGTTGGGGCATTATCTCAAGAGCACCCCTTTTAGGTCAGTGTTCCCTAGAAGCATGCTAGGAGCTGAGTCTGGAAAGGAAAAGGTTTCTACCTCTGGCTTAGAAGCCACCATTTGAGCCAAAACAATATCCTTCTTTTGGATTGGGGGTGGGTGGACTCAGAGCTTATTGTTACCCTCGTACTTATATCCCAAATACTATATAATACAACAATATATAGTCTTGACATAGTCTTGATGTACCGGGAGGTTCCTGAAGTCATGCCCTTTGAGATGGGTTGGGACAGTGCCTGCTGCCCTTGACCCAAATTACTAAGATTCCTGTTCCTGGAAATTGAAGAGGCCAGCCAGACTGGACACACCCTGAGTGAGAGGCCACAAGAGCTCAGTCTTCTCACTATCTGCTCGGAGGGGCTCACCTCACTCTTGACTCAAGGCAAGTCCTGTGTCTACCTCATTTCTATCCTTCCGCTGCTAAGAATATTAAAGGCATGCAAGAAATGTTGAACACATGACATCTAAAAGATGTGGACCAATAAAAATAATCCCGGGAGCTGTCTCATTAAGTGGCTTATCCAGGACTGCTGGGCTGGGTGTCTGAACCCAGTCTGTCTGATGTCAAAAAGATGACGTTTAATTGCTTCCAAAGTACATACAGGTTGACGCGGTGAGGAGTAGAACTAGCAAGACGGTGGTGCTCATTTCAAAGGAATTCCTTAATGGTATGAATTTTGAGCTGGAATTTGAAGGAAGGATATGAAACTGATAGAGAACAGGCAGGCAGCAACCTGAACATGGGAAGGGGTATGCCCGAAAACTGAGGAGGAACCGAACTTGACTGTTGTATTACTTTGGTGAGCTCCTTAACCTCTGTGCTTCAGCTTGTTTATCTGTTAACATGTGGGTAACAGCACCTACTTGGGAAGTGGTTGTGACCACTACTGAAATTAACACATGCTTAGGCCAGTAGACTCCGGAAGTGTTAGCTGCTATTTGCCTGTTTAGAATAGAGGGACCGTCTTGGGCAATAATCAGAGTCACCAGAATGGGACTAGGAGGAGGGACTGGTCAATCGTAAAAGGAACCCCCAAGTTACTTAGGAGCACATTCATCTCTCATTTCTATAAATTCCTACAGTCCTTATAGCACATTCCCACAACAGTATGTTGTTCTCTGTTTTATGTGTAGATATATTTTCCCCTCAAGTGAATGGTAAATTTGTTGAAAGCAAGGACAACAGATACTTAAAAATTGGTAAGCCCAGCTTCTGTTGTAGGCTGCTCATTAGAACACCCCTGACGGGTTGTCATCCAGCCTGTGCTTGAATACTTCCAGCGGCAGAAAGCTCACCATCACGTGTTCTATTTCATGCTACCTTGTGCATGTCTTTCTTATAATGAAATGAGACGTGGCTTCCTGTAGCGTCTAAGCCCAGTGCTTTTCTATTTTGTGGTCTTGCATATACGTCACAGGATATGATATGGTACTAGACACATCATAAACACCCAGCAGAACTTCACTTCTGTGGAAATTAGAGGCCTGTGCTCTTGCTGCCTCAACGCTGTCCCCCAGGTCTCAGTGCAAATGCCCCTTCAGACGGGACTGGCCACTGTCCTGAACGCGGCTCGCGGCTCACGGCTCCCCCTCCACCCGCAAATCACTTTGTGACACATCGTCTTATACTTTTCTTTGTGATACTTATCTCTTAAAAAATATCAGTGTTCATTTGATTACTTGCTGATTGCTGTCTTCCCCACTAGACCACGAGTGCCACTGGAATGGGAATCTTGTCACCACTTTCTCAAGGGCTTGTATGAATGCCTAGCCCAGAGTAGCCACTCAAACACTTGGGGAAGGGAGGGAGAAGGAAGGAAGGAATCTCCTGCATTAGCCTCTGGGTGAGAGGACCTCCGGCATCTTAGGAGCTCATGACCATCCCAGGCTCCATATTCCCAAACTCTCCTTTAAGAGGGGGCTCCCTGAAGCACCTCCCAGTGGCCTTATTTCTATCCTGTGAGGCCCATTCAGAATAAATCTTCCCTTCCACACGGTGGCCTATTATATTTCTGAAGGTAATGGCGACCTATCTATATCCGCAACATGGTAGAGACCAGTTAAAGACGGAGACAGAGGACTCTGGGAGCTGTTTGTGTTCCCGGGGGATCAGCCCAAGGCTCGGTACCCATGGCCGTCAACCAGCAGGGAGTGTCCCTGATGCATGGAGTGGAGTGACCAGGACAAAGGGTGCTGTGGGCTTTGGGGATGATGGAGGCTTTCCATTCCTCCCTGGGCAGGTGGGCAGGACGGGCCTAGGGCTTTCATCAGATAGGCCGGGAAGGAAGGCCACTGTGGCAGGGGACTGGAGAGGAGGGAAGGGAGCCAGAGCCTGGGGAGATGAAAGCCCAGCTGGTGGAAACAGCCCCTGAAAAGGGCATGGAGTGGGAATGAGGCTGGAAAAAAACCGGTGGAAAGCAGCTCAATGAGGGGAATTCGTGATTTCCTGGCCCCGTGAGCCCCCAGGGAGAGGACAAAGGTTGGCACTTGATGAAAAGCAATAGAGCCCAGGGCTCACACTGGTCCCAATGCCCCCGGAATGCCGGGTGACTCTGGGCAGGCCGTTAACCTGTCTCCACCCAACCCCCCTTCCGCAAAGAGGGGTATGCCTCCCACTCTGTGACAGAACAAAACTTTCCATGGGGGAGAACTTAGGGAAAAAGGGCCACAGACATCTAGATGTAGCTGACACCCAGGAAACACCACCCACCCTTAACTCAGCTTAATTCTGAATGTGTTATTGACCCAATAGGTCCAATTGCCTCTTTTGACCATTTAAATATATATATATTTATATTTATGCATATAAGTTCTTTGGTTTATCTCTTCTCATTACATCCTCTATCCCCTGACCGAGGTATGTCAGTCTGTTCAATGCCTCTATGATTCAACTTATTTTGTTGGTCAACTTATTTTCTTCCTTCGATTCCATAAATAAGTGAGATCATGTTATGTTTGTCTTTACCTGCTGTTTAAATAAGCCAGACTTTCCTGCAGATGTCAAACATTCTGTGTAATTTCTACTCACCCTTCAGCTTCAGCTCAAATGTCACTTCCTCAGGGAAGCCTTACCAGTCCCCAAACAGGGTCTGGCTCCTCATTATGTTCTCCAACAGCACCTGGTCCCTTTTCGTCATGGCTCTCATCACAATTTGCCATTATTCATTCACTGTTACAGTTTGTTTTTTTAAATCCTCACCTGAGGACATTTTTTTCCATTTTTTGTTCAGATAGAGCGGGAGGGAGAGAGAGAGGAAGAGAGAGAGAAACATCGACCCGAAAGGGACACATCGAGTGGCTGCCACCCACACGGCCAACTAGGGCCGGGGACAAACTGCAATCGAGGTACATGCCCGTAGTGGGAACCGAACCCGGGTCCCTCTGGACTGCAGGCCGACGCTCTGACTGCTGAGCCAAATCGGCCAGGGCCATTGTTACAGTTTTTAAGTTGTTTGTAGTAGACCATTGCAAGGCTCTGTCCTCAACCCTTTTCTCTCCTAACTGTACACATCCTTCCCATGAAGTTTTATTGATGCTAGAGGTTATGCTAACAGCACTCCGGCCTATATCTCCAGGTCATCCTCTCTCCAGCCCTGAGGTTTTTATAACGACCTATTAATACATTATGAGCTTCTCAACCTTCCGCACCATTCTATTTCTCTGCGAACTTGCTCTCCTCAAATTCCCAATTTTGGTTAAAGGCACCAGCGCCTGGCCAACTACTCAAGTGAAAAAACCTTGGAGCCATCCCACTTTTCTCTGCCCCCACCCCCCTTGTGGGCACCCTCTTCTTCATCCCATGACCATGGCTTCAGTTCAGACCTTCATACCCTCTGCCTGAGAGGTCACAACCCTGTCTCTTCCTGCTCCACAACTTCCTCTACATTGCTGACGTCATTACCTCCCTCGAAGCAAATCTGAGCAGATCCCTGTCCTGTTTGAAGACCTCTGACGGTTCCCTTCCGTCCACAGATGACAGCCCAGACTCATCAGCATGACATACAAGGCCTTGATCTCCAAGCTGCACCTCCATTTCCATCTCTCATCACTTTCCCCCAATTTATCCTCCCCTTCAGCTTTACTTGATGTTAGTCTTCCTCGAAATGCCTTACTTCCAGCCAAGTCCTCTCTGTCCTGAAAGTCAGCTCAAATTTCCGGTGGCTAGAAATGTCTTTCCTGACCCTCCCAGGGTAGCATCAGTTCCCTTCTTTGAGTTGATCCTATTTTCATTTGTTCACCACAAATTGTTATAATCGGAGTATAGTATGGTAGCTTAAAACACAGAGTCTGGAACTAGGCTGCTAGCTGGGTAATCTTGGGCATGTTACTTACCCGTGCCTCAGTTTCCCCATTAAATGTGGGTAATACAATTCCTACCTCATAGGGTGGTTGTGGGGATTAGATGAGTGTGTGTACATCTTAGGACAAGACCACATGCATAGCAAGCCCACTATGTTCGCTACTACTACTATTATTTATTAGTATCCACTGCCCACCCCCAGACTCCCAATTCCCCCAAACCAGAGACCTGCTATTCTAGCCAAGTACCTGGTGCATAGGAAGCCTTTGAAAAATGTTGGCTGAACAAATGAGACTAGGCCAGCCCTGAGATTACAGCTAAACCCAGGTCTCGAGGGCCACACTTCCTGATCTAAACCAGTCGCCAGGAATCTATGGTACGTACCTCCTGGACTGTCTGTGCAGGGTGAATCCTGAAGTTGACTGTGGACTGGGCCATCGGGGGGATGACATTCACCTAGAGGGAGAAATACACACCTTGGCCGGAGCCCATCTCAAAGGTCCACCCTGCCCCCTGCCCAGGAAATGCCTACTACCACCAGTAGGGGGAGAGGGAGCTGATTTGATTTAAAGATCTGGGGCTTGATTTTTTTTTTTTTAGTCTGTCTCTTGTCTTCCCTGGGCCTTTGCCATGTGATTGTGTTCAGAGCTAGATTATGTTTCTGCTTCAGGGCAGATCTTTGTGCTTCTTGGGCCTGGAGGGCATTATAGAGAACGGCTCAGAGCAAGACAGCTTTCTCTGTGATGCCCAGGCATCTCTGTGTCGGCCCCGGAGAGCGCCATTGGCAGCCTTGTGTGTGTGCTCTCCTTCCCAGGGTGCCCAGGACCTTCCTGCAAGGGTTAGTGCCAGTGCTTGCCCAGGACAGGGCACCAGAGCCTCTGCAGGCCCCATCGTGGCATGTCTGACCCCGGAAGGGGATCTTGGTGGTGTTGCTGCTGCTGCTGGTGATTTCCCCACATCCAGTTGTGAAATTTGACTATTCTTACCAGAAAGATCCCAGGACTAACTGGAAAAGACAGTTAAGCTAGGGAGGGATTCCACCCTCCTCCCCAGAGGCCATGAGAGAACAGATTTCCCAATCGTGTATCTTTCTTTGATCTGATATATGCAAAAAAGCACCAGACAGGAGAACTGGGCTGTTACAAATTAGATGACTGACTTTGAATACGTGCAACCTCTTTGTACCTCTGTTTCTTTATTTTTTTCTTTATTGTTGATGGTATTACAGATGTCTCCCATTTTCTCCCTTTTTGCCCCCCTCTGCCCAACCTCCTGTATCTCTGTTTCTTAGCTGGCAATTGGGGCAATGGTACTCATAGAGCTGATAGGAAGATCAAATGGAGTAACGATGTTCAAGTACTCTGGAAAGATAAAAACACCATTCAAATGCAAGGACATAGTACTATTATTCTGGTGGACACCCTAGGCAGCTGGTGAAGACAGCTCCGGTCCAGCCGACGTACGCCAGGAAGGATTTCTGAGGTCCCATTCACTTCTACTCAACCTGGGCTCTAGATTACCAGAGCTCCACAAAGCTACATTGTGTTCTAGGTGAATGGTGCTGCTTGAAGTTGTGTTGGTGGTGCTTATAACAATAGAAATGGTCTAACTCCTTCCATGAGTTCAGAAAGACCTATACCCATGCTAACTAGCGTGGCTTGGCTTCCTTTGAACAGAGATGCCCCGAGTAGCCAATCCAACTGGAAGTAGACTAATTTGCTGAAAAGTAGTTCTTAGAATAAAAATTTATCAAGGTATTATTCACCTGAAACTGATTTCTATAAAAGGAAACCTCACAGAGAATTGGTTTGCTAAGGCCACCCAATATTTAGTGTACTTTGGGAATGCAATGTACATATTTTAAGTGCTGTATATATCACAGATGTTATAGACTTTATAAGTGGCAGGTGAGTTTCTCTTTTCAACTCAGTAACACAAGGAGAAAATACATTAGTCACTCATTAAATTTGTTAGGTGGATATATCTTTCGAAATATGAAGAAGAGTAATAGAAAAAGATCTTTGCTAGTAGATAGGTTAGAAGCCTTTAGTCTCCCTGACCAAAATGCCAGGTAAATATATGACACGTTGAATGAGTATAGGTCACAAGAATGAACTCTCATTCACACTAGTGTAATGGTTGTTTTTTGGTACAATCCAAAGAACCCGAGGGGGATCACGAACACCCCCCGAAAACACTACTATTATACAAAATCTGACCAGCGATTTCAGAGTTTGTAGACCTCAGCTAGAACTCTTGCTTTTGAGGCGTACCCAACTGATGACACAGGGCAGTTCAGCACTGGGCCTTCCTATTATTCCACTGGTAACCAGACAAGGAAGGAGGAGCCAGGGAATAAAGCCAAGGAATGGAGGGGTGGACAGGCAGCGAGGAAAAGGTATACGGGAGGAACCAGATGATGTTACCTTGATCCCTGCCTTGAACATGGTGATTGCTGTGGTGGTCCTGACCAGTGCGTTGGTTATATAATTCCTCTCCATTAATCTAAAGCCAAAGGAATAAGATGAAATGTTGTTTAATGGGAAAAAGATGGGATGGAGGGATACCCACTTGCCTGAACCTTGGGAGATCTTTAAGTCTAGGAGGAAAACAACCTATATGTGAATTGCATATAGCATCTGATGTCTGAGGGACAATTATTAGTCAGGTCCAGTAGAGCCAAGGAGAGGGGACTGGGCGGTAAGTAGGTGTGGGGTGGGGTGTGAGGGAAGGACAGATAGAACTTTACCTGCTTACAAGGGGCCCAAATAGCCACAGGTTGCTGAAGACTATATTGACAGGGAAGGAAAACTGAAAGAAAAACCAGGTCAGCAGGATTTCAGAGGGGTCAGCATAACAGGGTCATACCTGTACCTGAGGCTGGGTCCCTTCCTACTCTAGATCTGCCTTGAGGGCCCTCAGCGGTCGCCTCAAGGATGAGTGGGAACCACTTCTCGAGTTAAAACCAGCTTCCAAAGGGTGCCTGGGTGTGTTAGGCCTTAGGGTCTCAGATAAGCACCAAGAACTTCCAGGAACAAGCCAGATCCGTGTGTGCTGGCTCAGTCACTGGCTGGGAATGGGCAGAGCACTGGTAAGCAGTAGGACCCTTTTATTACTCTAAAGGCTTCTTCTCTGCCACCCTTTCTTTCTCTTCCACAGCTGACCAGTATTATGTGAGGCTTCTCCCCACACCTCAGTAGCCAGTTGCTGCAACATCATCTCCGGCAGCCCACTTCCAAACATGTTCGGCAGTGGTGTCTGCTCCAGTCTACAAGAGAAAAGGCGTTCTCAAGACGTACCCAGCCCCAGTCAAAGATCACCAGTCTGAAGAGGAGAAGGAGGGAGACAGGATGTTTCAACAGGCCAGGAGGCCTCCTATTCACCTCCACCAATTAACCATTCAAAGATCTCAAAGGACCAGCAAGACCACTTCTTCTCCACCAGCAGGAGCTATCTCTGTCTACCAAGTCTGAGTTAGGGTACCCTGTTCCCCTATCACTTACTACACTGTAGCAGAATTGTCGGTCTTCTTCACTAACTGTGGGTTACTTTAGGAAACACTGTCTGTCTTTCCCCACTACGGGGCACAAAGCCTGAATGTGGTAGGTCGTCAGTTGAATATTTAATCCAATAAACATTGTTCTTCTTCCCTATTTGCTAATAAAACAACAACAAAACCCAGACAGAAGTGAGTGCTGAACAGATCCTCCTGTCCTCACCCACAGCCGGCAGCCTTCGTTTATCTTCGTCCTCTTAGCAGGGCAGGTGGAGAATTTAGACAGCGTACGTCATCACCAGCTTGTATTTCTAACTTCTGTTCTGGACCTTGGACTCTTCCAGCTACTTGACCTAACTTTTGTTTGCTGGCCCTTGCTGGCCATGTGGGTAGATCCCCTTCTGACCTCTAACTCTTGCCTGGGTACTGGTGGCTCTGTCCTCCCTGCAGTCCAGCCCCACCTCAGGGCAGGAAGCTTAGCCTCCTCAAAGTCACAGTGGGAAAGTGCCAAGTCTTCCATCCTGAGCCTGGCAAGGGAGCAGGGCCAGGGGTTGCTCACCGGCTCACAGCAGCTGCCAGGATGCCAATGCTCGTCTCCTCGGGAGGAGCTGAAGAGTGGCCTGGAGTCATGTTTACTTGCAGCATAAGGTTAAGTGAACCCTTCTCCGAGACAGAAATCCTGCAGGAGAGAATCCGAGAGGACCCTCCTAACTTCCTCCCACCTTGAATGATCCCACAGGCCCACAGGCCAATCTGCACAGTGGTCTGGTGGGCTAGAAGGTCAGCTCCAAGCTACTTAAAGAAATCTATACCTTAAGAGGAGGAGGGGAAAGGGGAACCCAGAATTAGTCAAAGCTCAGGGAAATCAAAGCAAGAGGAGTAAAACACAGAGTTATTTCAGCATGGCTTACAGTTACCAGGCTGGGGTCATCTCCCATGGGTGAGAATGCTTTCCAAGTGGGGGAGGGGTGCTTTACTTACATGGCAAAAGGCTTGTTGAGACTGGGAATGAAACCATCTAAGATGAAGCTTCCCTCATCCACGATGAAGGCCAGCTGTACACCCCTTGCCTGTAGCAGGGCTGAGATCTTCTGAGCCCCATTTGCCCCTGACACCTATAGATATTGAACCCGGAGCCAGTCAGTCTTTCTCAGCCAGACCTCCAGAGATAGCTAATGGAGACCCATTCAGCTTAGCTAGGGCCTCCAGTACCTTCCTGCCCAATCTCCTTTCTTGGAGGAAAGGGGGTGGGGACAGGACTCTAGACAATACTGTCTCACAGATTCCTGGAGTATCAGAGCTGGAAGGGCCAGACACCCCTCATTTCACAAATAAAGAAACTGGGACCCAGAGAATAAAGTAATTTGCCAAGGGTCAGAGTAAGCAGCATCACGGGAGATAAAACATATTCAGTGATCTCCCTCTTAGTTCTTTTTCCAACACACCAATGTTCCTCAAGGTTTATTTGATGGACCACCTGCCTGCCTTAGATATTACCAGGGAGTTAGTTAAAAATTCAGATCTATGCATATCACTAAGTGAAAGAAGCCAATCTGAAAAAGCTATATACTGTATGATTCCAACTATCTGACATTCTGGGAAAGGCAAAACTATGGGGAGAGTAAAAAGATGAGTGGTTGCCAGGGGTAAAGGAGAGGGAGAGGGATGAATTGGCAGGGCATAGAAGATTGTAAGGCAATGAAAATACTCTGTATGATATAATAATGATGGACACATGTCACTATACATTTGTCCAAACACCAAGAGTGAACCCTCATGTAAACTATGAGCTTTGGGTAATTGTTATGTGTCCATGTAGGTTCATCAATTGTAACAAACATACCACCCTGGTGGGAGACAGTGATATGATAATGGGGGACACAATGAATGTGTGGGGGTAGGGAGTTTATGGGAAATCTCTTTCTAGTCTCCATTTTTCTGTGAACCTAAAACTTCTCTAAAAAAATATAGTCTTTTAAAAACAAATTCAGATCTATGACACAGGGCCTGGAAACTGCATTTTGGTCAAGGGCCTTCGAGGGTTCTGGCACACAGATACACAAAGAAGCTGGCAAACCACCACATCACATCCTGAAGACCCTGCAGGTGGGGAGCAACTGGACCGGGCAAAGACAGCCCCCCCCCCCCCCCCCGGCCCATAGGGGTCCCAGAGAGGTAAAAGATGAAGAGGCCCTACCTCCTCATCATGGCCCAGAGCAATGAAGAAAGATCTTCGGGGGATGTAATTTCTGATCAGCAGGAGCTCCAAGGCTTGTAGGATTGCCTGGGGGACAGAAATATCACAGAAGAGGAAAAGGGTGATTGTCTAGTGGGAGTACCAGGGCATGAGAGACGTTCAGCTACCTGCATCAGGGCTGGCGCAACTGGGATTGGCTAGACTCTCTTTACAGATAACAAATTCAGCCCATCTGGTGTGGCTCAGTGGTTGAGTGTGGACTCGTGCATCAAGAGGTCACTGGTTCGATTTCCAGTCAGGGCACATGCCCAGGTTGTGGGCCCGATCCCCAGTGGGGGGCATGAAGGAGGTGGCCAGTCGATGTCCTCTCTCATCGATGTTTCTAGCTTTCTCTCCCTCTCCCTTCCTCTCTCTCTAAAAATCAATACAGAGGAAAAAAATTAGGATAACAAATTCAAACTGTCCTGGGGGATGGGATGTAGGAAAGCAGAGCTCTGCATAAAACCTTTACCACCTGGACAAAAGTATACATTTATCAATGTCAGAGCTGAAGGGGTCCCTGGGGACCATCTCCTCTAAACCCCATTTCATGGTTGAGAAAACAAGGCCCAGAAAAGGGAAGTGACGAACTCATGGCTGGAACCCAAGTCTCCTGGAGCCAAGGTTCTTTCTACCATAATAACCTCCTGTCTCCCGGGGTCAGCCGAGCACCCCCCAGTCTGGGTTGATCTTCAGGGCCCCAAGGCAGAGGGAACAGAGCATTTCAGACCATCACGGAGTTCTTGTTGTCTAGTGTGCCTCGACCATAGATGAAGCCATCACGTTCCAACCCAGAGAACGGGGGCACCTCCCAGCCTTGGTCAGGGGCAGGCACCACATCAATGTGAGCCAGCAGCATGTAGGGCTGCAAGCTTGGGTCCGAGCCTTGGACAGTGAACAGGTGGCTGTATTCTCCCACAACTTCATGCTGGATAAAGCTGGTTTTGAACACAGTAGGAAAGACTAGAAGCAAAGGGATGAAAAGCAGGGAGAGAAAGCCGGATTTAAATTTCCTTTGGTTTTCCCACCATTTGGTGCCACTGCCTTAAAAAAAAAAGTAGCTTTCTTTAGGAAGCCTTCTGGGGCAAAGCCAGTCTCATTTCTGATTTGCCCACATAATCTCTGAAATTTGTCTGTCCCATATTTTAATGCATTATTGCTATGTAATGACATACATGACTCCACCATTATGATAGTCAATCGCTTAAGATTTGGCTTGGTCTGACCCATATAACATGTTATCATAAGTACATGTTATAGGGCTGTGCAAACTAGGGATGTATAAAATTTTGAATACAGTAGGCCCCAGTACCCAAATTACTTGGAACCAAATATGACCCTTATATATAAAAGAAATCAGAAATATTTTCTTTTAAAAAAAACAGAACTCGTACTGTTTGTGTTATATGGACATAACAGGTTGTTCTGTCCAGCACAAGGTCACACTTCTGCATCCAAGTGTGAATGTTCCCAGGGTCAATCATTCAGGATACAGATAAGTCTTAACACAGGTGGCCTTAGATACATGGGAGGAAAAACTTTGCTCTCCCACTGGGCTTTGTTGGAAGAATCCACAAATACCCATGTGGATACCTGAAAACAAAAACCCAAAGTCGAATATGCTTTTATTGTGTCAGCCAGCTTGTCTAGTTTACTGCCACTGCACATTTAGTTCTGTACTTTTGTCTCCTATTTAGTAAAGACTTCCAGCCTGGCCTCGGCCTGGCTGCTGGGGATTGATCCCAGAATCACCTGTCCCAGGGTGGTAGAGGGGGGCCTGCTTGCTGCCCCTAGGCCAGCTTCTCCGATCCCTGACAACTTTGGAGGGGCTGCTTTCTATTTGATTTAAGAAGATAGCCTTACTATTCTCCACGAGCTCTGAGCTTTTCATAGGGGGAGCGGGGAGTTTCAAATCGCCTTTCCCCCTTGACCCATCATCCCAGCTCGTGGGCGGTGGGGGTGAGGACCAGTATAATAGCTCCAGGTTGCTTACTTTCTAGAAGCTCAGAAATGTGTTAGTAATGAATCTGGAGTAGGGCCTGTGTAAGTGGAGTGTGTGTTTGTGCGTGTGCATGTGTGTGTGTTTGTATGGAGGTGGTAGGGGGAGAAGCATGGGGCATAGTTCTTGAAACTTGCACAGGAAGAAAGAATTCCTAGTCCTATCTTCTGATTTATTGACTAACACATATTAAAGGCAAGGACTGGGAGAGTTTAAACTCCAACCCAACAGCTATGTACATTAGTTGTTCAAAGGGCAAATCTATAGTCTCTCCTCTGTCTTCGCTCTCACTCCTGGATTCTCCTTTCTGTCCCTGCCTACCATGCACAAACTCAACAGAGACCCATGGGAATTAGATTGTCCTCAGTCACAAAGTAAACTTCTTTATCACCTTGTTAAAGAACTGTGTCCCTAACTCTCCCACCCTTTTTCCACAGTTTGTGACTGACCTTCACGAATGTATTGTCCAAACTCAGCCAGGGCTGTCGTGTTGTACTCCCCAGGGTTGAAAGACACGGTTGGAATCTGGATGGCACCTGTCAGAGTCAGATAGTAAGAGACAGGAGATTACAGATAATATCAGCCATTGGTTTTCCACAGCCCTCCGTGCTTGAAGACAGCTTTTACATTCAGTATCTTATTGTGGAGGGCAAAACACTCCTTTAAAGTAGGTGCTGCTGTTTTTCCTAATTTTTTTTTTTTTAAATCCTCACCCGAGGACATTTTTTGTTCAGATAGAGTGGGAGGGAGAGAGAAGAAGAGAGAGAGAGAGAAACATCGACGTGAAGGGACACATCGAGTGGCTGCCACCCGCACGACCAACCAGGGCCAGGGACAAACTGCAACCGAGGTACGTGCTCTTAGCGGGAACCGAACCTGGGTCTCTCCGGACCGCAGGCCGACGCTCTAACCGCTGAGCCAAACCGGCCAGGGCTGTTTTTCCTAATTTGAAGGTGAGGAAACAAGCTTAGAGAGGTTAGAGCTGCTTAAGATTGTCCTGAAATGAGCAGCAGAACTGGCATTAAGTGCAGGCCTTTTGTGTTTGTTTAGGCTAACATGATTCTGTTTTTGTTTTTTTGTTTTTTAATCCTCAACCGAGGACATTTTCCCATTTTTTTTTGTTCAGATAGAGCGGGAGGGAGAGAGAGGAAGAGAGAGAGAGAAACATCGATGTGAAGGGACACATCGAGTGGCTGCCAACCGCACGACCAACCAGGGCCAGGGACAAACTGCAACCGAGGTACGTGCCCTTAGCGGGAACTGAACCCGGGTCTCTCTGTACCGCAGGCCGACGCTCCAACCGCTGAGCCAAACCGGCCAGGGCAGGCTAACATGATTCTTAAAGGAGAATAAAATCCAAGATGGAGGTAGGTGGAGAAGAGTAGATTTTGGACCCTGGCCCTGAGTGGGAACTGCTATAAATTGCTCCCTAAGGCTTCACTCTGCCTCTGAAACCACCATCCCTTTGATGAATCAGGAGCCCACAGTGCTGGGTCCCTCCATGAATGAGGCTTTGTGTGCAGAGTGGGCTTATTTCTCATGGACTCGCTTATCCAGTCACACTGTCTCTCAGCTAAGGCCAGCTGTTTTTGGCACATGATACCTGGGAAGGTGTGGCGTTAGAAGCTCCCAAACAAGCTCTTTAATCCTAAATAATCTTATCTGCTCTACCCAGATATCTCAGTTCCTGAATTGCCAATAGGCTCATCTTTGAGCCATGAAGGCTTTGCACTCTTTAAAAGTTCCATTATTGAATGCGAACACCACTGGGAGGGGAAACACAAGGAATTATGAGAATATTTGATTAGACAGCTATCCCAAAACACAGTGGGAAAAAATGCACCTGGACCAGCTTGATGTCAAGGCAAGGCCTCTGAAAGACAAACTTAATTCTGTACTCAGTTTTTTTCTAAGGATCAGCCCTACCTAGATAGGGAAGGCAAAGTTCAAAAAGATTAAATAAATTGCCTACATGAGAGGCGGATCCAAGATGGAACTCAGGCGTTTTGTCCCTGTTCAGTTCTAAGCCATGTTGCTATAAGGTTCCTACTTTAGGTTCTTACTTAGCTTTTGCTTTCTTCTTTGCAAAGAGACTCTGGTGAGCAGCTGCTCAATGCCTTTCCAAAGACTATACTATGCTTTGGAAAAGCACTGATATACCTCCCAGACCTACCACTCCAGTTTATAGTCAATCACAGGGGTTAACTTTTGCTCCTGGAATATGCCTGCACATGTTTACCTAGGCAGTTTCTCTTTTTTTACCCTCACCTGAGGACATTTTTCCATTTTTTATTCAGATAGAGCTAGAGGGAGAGAGAGGAAGAGAAAGAGAGAAACATCGACGTGAAAGGGACACACCGAGTGGCCGCCACCCACACGACCCAACCAGGGCGGGGAACAAACTGCAGCCAAGGTACATGCCCTTAGCAGAACCGCACCCGGGTTTACTGTGGAGCGCAGGCTGACGCTCTAACCGCTGAGCCGAACCGGCCAGGGCTGGGCAGTTTCTGTTAATGAAAGGGAAAAGAGTGGAGCTAAGCCCAATGGCGAAGAAGGATCTCTATCCCACAGGATCTAGCACTCAACAGAAATTTTTGTTTTTTCTCCTGGAAAATGCAGAATTGGAAGATAAATACGTTTAAGCCTTGGTTTGAGGTCTAAGAGAGAGATGTCCTTTAAGTAGAAGAAATTAGAAACATACCACACTCCAGGACCCCCCCCCCCCCCCCCCACACACACTTCTTGGAGCTATTTGGTGTCCAGCGGGTCCTACAGGTGCTAGATGTTGTCACCCAGTGCCCATTCCTTCCCGGGGAGTCCTGGGGGAAGATCATTTAAATGAACGAAACCTCAATTTCTCGCCTCTGTAGATAAGATGAAGACAATTTCGTTTTAAATTGACGCAGAGATTGAAAATAAGTCAAAACTTTCAAAGGTTAAAAGTACACGTAAAAAGGCAAACGGGCTAGGATAGGTGACTGCTCTGCCAACAGAGGCAAAGTTGGAGCTTTCAGGCTAGGCAGGAAACACGGGAGTCCTCCAAGTCAGGGCTGGGGAAGAAGGGCGGCCCTAAGCCCGGGCACAGGGTGCGAGGAGCGGGCTAGGCTGGGCTGCGAAGTGTAGCGGAGCTCGAGTTGAGTAGTGGACCCTCTGCGACAGGAGGGGGAGTACCGGGACGGGCTTGGAGAGAGGGACCCGTTGCTGAGCACAGGTGGGCGAAGGGGACGCAGGCTCACCTTTCAGCGATTCCTTCATTGTGACGCGTTCCTCTGGGCTGAACTCAGAAGGAATTCGCGGAGCCCTCTGAGGCCCCTTGCCCCCTAGGCCCTTCGACCTGGAGACGGTGGCAATACTTAGCAGCAGCACAGCCGCCAGGGCCAGCACGGAAACGTACCGCCGAGTCATTTTTCTCTCAATTTAGGGCTGCTAGTCTGCGACTGGAGTTTGGACCCAAACGCCCAGCCAGCGACCCTCGCTCCAGTTCCCGCTTGGCTTTAGCTCCAGCTCATTCTCAGACTGACCAATCATCGTTGGTATAAGGCTGTGGGTCAACCAATCGGTGGGACTGCCCCGCCCCAGGCCCGCAAGGCCTTTTGGGGGTTGTAGTTTATGGCCCTCTTGCAGGCTGATGTAGAGCAGAGGTGAGGCAGGGCTCCAGGCATATGGCAGGTGGTGTCTGTACTTGATCTTCTGCTTTGACATAGTGACAAATCCCTTACTACATGATACTAAATCAACTTAAAGGGGGGTGGAGAGAAAGCAAAATAAAATGAATGAAGCTTGTCAGAGGTTCATAAATGGCCAAAGTAAACCCAATCACTGAAGTAGTAATGAGTAAAACATTTGTTGTGCACACGCCAAAAAGACAGTTTATAAACCAGGAGCATTTTAACCAAAACATGAAATGAGGATCAGGGGTGTATTGTTATAAAGCAGTTTATATAGTGAGAAAAGCAGTGACCTTTCTTTACAGTGATTGATTGATTACAACATTAGAATTCTCAGTGGTTACCTCATATCAACCTTGGCAAACAGTTTAGGTTTTGCTTATGATTTTCAGAAGCATAAGCAAGAAATAACCCACGTCAAGTTAGTCTTGCAACATAAGCCAAATTAAGATTTGTTTGTATGACTAAATTGGTTTTATCTGCTCGAGAAAAATCAAGGCCGGTTTCTGTTTGGTTTTTGATGTTAACAATTCACCCTCTTTGGCCATTCTCTCAGCAGGTGGAGAGTATGACCAACCAGTATAGCATTACTCTTGGTTACCACTACTGACATGGTCAGGTTGAAAATTCACACATTTGCTGTTTCCATTAGTTGTCAGGCCAGCGAACCATGTAGTCACCATCTTCATCATTTATGTGGTTATTGTTGGTTTCATTCAGTTGTTTGATCCCAATGGACACAATTTGACATGTGAGTGACTGCTAACAGGCATTTAAAATCCTTGAAAGTATATAATGTGTTAGAAAAGTTAATATAATGACTAACAGGGAGAATAATAGCCAAGGATGAAAAAATTTCCCAATGCAGAGATTCCCAGGAGTCAATATTTAACCAACTAAATAAACCAAGTGGGTGTCGATGTTTTAAAAGTTGTTTACATAGGCACAACGCACTGTATTAGCAAACATATATCCTTGTGGTAACTTAGGATGGGATGAACATAAGGATATTTTATTTCAGGAGGTGGTATTGCAGGTGAGCTTTCATCTAAATTAGACCTCTATATGTTGTGAGCAGCCAGGTAATAAAAAAAATTTCCGTGGAAACAAAAGTAAAACAAAGGTTAGTAGTTTGAGCAAATTATAAATTCAGTTTCTGAGTTTGGAGAGCAGCCAGTTGAGATGAGTTCTAGATGTCAGGTTTGAAACATCTTCAGATGGAGTGAGGGCAAGCAGTGGCAATCTGATAGATTTTCCTAGTTTGCAGTTTGAATGTGTTTGATTATGTGAGTGGCCCATGTACCTATAGGCACAAAGATTGCTCACACATCAGCTGTTGTAATGATGTCTCTAAAGCTGATATTGAATTGTCCAGTTTTAGCTTGCATGGCTTTAGAAAAAGGGCAGTTTTAGTTTCATAGTGATTCTAGGTCAAAAGAGTAGGGGTAGATTGGCTATGTTAGTTTGGAGAATTCTAGCTAAATATTGGAGGAAGCTAGAAGAATTCAGGATCCAGTTCAGTTTACAGGTAGGAAAAAACCACCTTGACTGGCCCTTTGTGTAGAAAAGTAGTTTTTATGTACAGCTTTTTAAGGGGATTTGCTGCAGATATTTATAAAAAGTAACTCCATAAGTACCATTGACCATTTGTACATAAAAAGATGTGTCAAACTTCAATAAATAAATAAAACCACTTTAAAACAGAATTCGAACAGCTACCCAAGAGGAATAGTGCATTGTGTAAAATCTGTAGTTTGAACACCCTTAGAATTAATGTAGATCAAGCAGGATTTTAGCAAACTTTGTTTCAGCACAGACTATAATTATTAAATAAAACTCCTACTATGTAATGAGTGTTCCAACATGCTCCCTTAGTAAATGGCATTATATTATAATATTTCACAGAAGATACCAGCATTCTACACATTAGGTTTACCTGTGTATTTCTTCAGAGTGAAACATATTCCCAATAAATAATGCATGTATTAGTCTATGACATAATATATAATCAATATATTTGTAAACACTACTAGCAAACTGTGTCTAGAACAGTCTAATTTTAGTGTTTCTATAAATCTTCCAAAATTCTCTGGTGTCATAATATGTATAAAAGCAGCAGTTTACAGTAATTAAAATGTTCATTTAAAGAGGCCAAGAAATCCAGTCATGTTTGAGGCTCTTAAGTGATGAAAATAGAAATGGTAATGAACTTTAGCTAGTAGTATCCATAAGTGAATGTTTGAGATAACATGATTGACATTCAATTCTAGTGGGTCCAATCTGGGTAAGAAGGTCTCAGAGGGAATCCTCAAATGATCTATTGGGAGTTTAACTCAGAAATTGATAGACAAATATTAGAGTAATGTCTGAGTCAATTGTTTCTTACCGGTAGAGTCTAGTCTGTTAATACCATACACTGCCTGGTGGTGAAACATCCAGAAGTGCCCATTGCCACAGGAAAGAAGGCAGGAACAACATGGAACAATCACATGATAACCTACAATGTTCCCACTGAATAAGAACCTATAATGTTTCCATTGAAAAAGAAAGTAAATATTGTTAGACGTTGTGTAAAACCTGACCATGTAGACATTTTTAGGTATTAATGTAAGTAGATGACGTAAAGACCTCATTTCCTCCTAACATCCTCCATTGCTGGGATCTTTTGGATGTGAGTTATTCTGATAATGATTGCAGTTTTACTGTAATCAAGTGAGCAAATAGCCTTTAAGTGAATTAATACTAACACATTCTCCATTTCTTTGCCAGTATTATTTTATGCATTTTTCATTCAGAAGCTAGCTTCTAGATGGCATAAGGCTGTGATTTGTTCTGTAAAGTACCCTAAATTGATGTGCTGTACACACAAAATATATTAAACCAACTCAGATCTATGGGTAAATGGTTTTTGCTATCCCCAGGACTGTGGCAAGTTGGGTTCTTATATGTTCTAGTTCCATACCAGCACCTAAAAACAGTTTCAACAGATGGAGAAGTAGAAAGACAGCATGAGCCCCTGGAAACCAAACGCAAGCTGGCTGCTCTAATTTTACTGTCAGCGTTTTAGAGGGGAATTCAGAAATAAAAGGAAATCCACAGCCTCTAGAGAAAGTTGCAAAAGTTTTCTTCAGGATTATGCAACTGACTATAAGTACAAGTACCTCACTCTTCCATTGATTTTCCCCTCCATCTGGTTACTATTATATAGAGGGAATATACAGGGAATGTTTTAGCACTTTTTTTTTTCTTAATCCTCATCCCAGACAGAGTGGGAAAGAGGGAGAGAGAGGGAGAGAGAGAGAAACATTGACGTGGGAGGGACACATCAACTGGTTGCCTCCCACACAACCCCGACCAGGGCCAGGGGTGAACTGCAACCAAGGTATGTGCCCTTGACCGGAATTGAACCCATGAGCCATTGGTCCATGGGCCGACACTCTAACCACTGAGGCAAATCAGTCAAGGCTGTTTTAGTTAGCACTTTTTAAAAAAGTCCAACATGAACTGCTTATAGCTTGAGTTGTAAAAATTCTTATTATAGTTTGTTCTCACCAAGTGAGATGTAGGAGTCAGTCATTTTCGTGAGGCCCTATTAAAAATACTATATAAAAGATACCATATCTAAAATATATCTTCTAATCATAATCTGATGAAAGGCAAACAAACGAAAACAAAAGTTGTTCTTGGACTGGGACTGACAGTTATATAAATAGACTATGTTGTAAGAGTAAATTCTATGGCCTTAATTGCTACCCTTATTTACTTATTAAACTAATGTTTATTGAGCTTGTGTTCTGTGTTAGGTACTATTCTAGGTGCTAGGGATACAGTGGTAGACAAAATTTTTGTTCTCATGGAGCTAATATTCTAGTAGGGAACACATCATATTATTTTGTTCCCTTCTTAGAACCCCTCCAGTGGCTTCCCACTGGCCAAAAATGAAAAGGAATAAACTCCTTCATACCAGGGTCTAGATCTACACTATCCAAATGTGGCTACTGAGCACTTGAAATTTGTGTAGGCTGAAATGAAATGTGCTGTCAGTTTAAAACATACCAGATTTGAAAGACCAGGAATAAAAAAATAGAATGTAAATTATTTAATGATTTTTTAAAATGTTGGTTACATGTTGAAATGATAGTATTTTGGATATATTGCGCTAATTAAAATACATGATTAAAATTAATTTCACTTGTTTCTTTTACTTTAAAAAATGTGGTACTGGAAAAATTTAAATTCCATATGTGATGTGCATATTTCTATTGGACAGCACTACTCGAGATTATCTGTGTTTTGACTGCATCTCTCTTTTTTTTTTTTTTTATCCTCACCCGAGGATATTTTTCCATTTTTTGTACAGATATAGTGGGAAGGAGAGAGAGGAAGGGAGAGAGAGGAAGGGAGAGAGAGTGAGAAACATCGACGTGAAGGGACACATCGAGTGGCTGCCACCCGCACGACCAACCAGGGCCGGGGACAAACTGCAACCGAAGTACGTGCCCTTAGCGGGAACCGAACCCGGGTCTCTCCGGACCGCAGGCCGACACTCTAACCGCTGAGCCAAACTGGCCAGGGCTTGACTGCATCTCTAATGTACTCATGCTACTCCCCAGATGCTCACAAAGTCTCAGCCACGCTGCCGTCATTGTTTTATTCCTTGAATATGTTAAGCTTCTTCTTCCCTAGGGTTTTCTGCACTTGCTGTTCCCTCTGCCTAGAACATTCTTTCTCTGTCTCCTTCTCACCCTTTAGGATTCAACTCTTGTTACCCTCTCATGAGAAGGGTTCCCTAACCATGCTATCAAAAATAGCTCTTAACCAAAT